GGGTAAGGGCAAGGGACGGGGGTGGGGGTTGGGGGTTGCATCTGCGTGGAAAGTAAGGGCGAATTCCCGTGGGCAGGGACAGGGAGGTTATGAGGCAAACATGGGTAGAGGGGGACATGAGTGCTACAATGTATGGCATGGTAGAGAGGGCGGCAGCGCAGGGGTGTCATCGTGTGGCACGCCTTGAACCGGCTGGAAGTTCCCTCTGTTGATGCATATGCGCACAGCCCAACGTGCGTGTTTTGTGCACCGACGCGTTCAGCTGTGTGACCAGTCGGAGGCCGCTCCGCCCACCACCGCCGCCACCCAAACCCATCGCGCAGGCACGTGGCCTCACGAGGTCACCGTGGACGGCGGCGCCGTGGTGGTGACGACAGCCGCGGGCCGCAGCGTACGCATCCCCTGCACGCAGCACCCCAAGCCCGCCGACGTGAGCAGGGCCGCCGCGCACAGCTAGAAGGGCCACCCTGCACTCACGGCAGGGGCCTTCGCACAAGGCGGAAGGGCCATCAGCGGTACTCCGGCCGCTGCCCCACATTGACGCCACCCCCCTTCGCCCTGAGGGTGCCGCAATTCAAAGGCCCTCCGAGACCCACTGTTCCCTGCTGTGCATACCCACCCCCACTGCCCCCTGCGCTGCAGCTCGCACCCGCCCTCAAGGCCGCCGGTGTTGAGATGGTGTGGGAGGGCACCGGCGTGTTCCTCACGCGCGCCGCGCTGGCGCCCTACTTTGAGGCCGGGGGTGTGAAGAAGGTGGTGGTCAGTGCGCCCGTGAAGGACGCGGACCCGGTGCTCAACGTCGTCATGGGCTGCAACCACGTGAGGCCACAGCGCGCACGGCGGCGCATGCACTTGGCAGTCCCCTGTGACAACTCGTGTCCTGGGGAGCGTGGCGGGGCCGGCTGTGCGGCGTGGTGGCATCAGACAGCATCGCGGGACTGTGACAGCAACTGGGGTCCTCACAGTGCCTGCAATGATGTGCGTGCGTGTGGGTCCTTCTCGCATTTTGTACGGCAGCCCCACCCACCAACCCCATGCATCACCACTGCAACCGCCACGCTGACCCCCCGCACCGATACCGCAGGAGCTGTACAACCCAGCGGTGGACCACATAGTGACGGCCGCCAGCTGCACCACAAACTGCCTCGCACCAGGTGAGGCCGGGTGACCCCCTGACGTCCAAGCCGCATCAGTCAGGCCATGGCGCGGCGCCACCCCCGCCGCCCGCATGTGCAGCCCCACCAGCCTCAAGAGCCGCAGCCGGCCGCTCGTGCGGCCATGCAAATCGCATCATTCCCTTTCCACCGGCCCTCCCTTGCGCGTCCCACTGTCCATCACCCATCGAG